GAAGATCAGCGTCGTTCTCCGAGCCATCCGCGCCACGAACATCGCACACGAAGCTTTCCACCTCAGAAGGAAACTGCGACGGCGGCGACGACGACGGCGACGACGACGACGACGCGCGCGGACCGACCGTTTCCGTCGCTCTTCTCACTGTCCTCGGTCGCTCGAGCGACTGCTACGCGGCTCGCGGGTGTAGGTGCGCGTCCGTGCTGTGCCCTCGGGTATATGCGTGCGGTACGCCAATCGGCGGCCATAGCAGCCGCCGCGGCCAATCAGAGCGTCCCATGCATTTGCCTCCCGCACCGGTCGCCGCGTCGCGGTCCCTCTTCCTTCCTCGCGCTCGCTCGTGACGATCCGTCGTTATCCGCGTGCGCATCCACGTTATTTACGACTACCCGATCTCACGGTGACTGTACTCGCGATCTCATAACCTCCTTCACGCTGACGTGCTTCGACGTTCTTTGGGGAACAGCGATCTCCCGAGGATGCGTCGTTCTCGACTCCGAAACAAATGCGCGTCTCTGTCGCAAATTCCACACCATACACAGACGTAAACTCCGCCCACTATCTCTCTCTCCCTCCGTGGCGGTTGTGTTGTTCCTTTTGCGCACGCGACGTTCCCGGTCACGGCGGTCACGTTTCTCGCAGTCACCGAGCGACACACCGAGTCGAGGAAAGGCTCGCGGATACTCACGGATCGCGATGACGTATCTCACACGAAAACCTGCTGCTAAAACGAGAGCAAATCGTGTGCGCGAGAGAATCGTAAATTACGGTGGCGCGCTAGTGCGCAGTCTCCGTTCGCGCAAGATGGCCGTCCACCAGGGGCGACCATGACTGGGAAGCGGGAAACGTAAATCAACCGCATGGTATGGCGTGGCGTAGTATAGCATGGGCGGCATGGCGCATACTACCGAGGCCGGTTTTTGAACGCACGATTCTGAGTATAATAACCGCACGGATTATTTGTAACTGATCCTTCCGCCTCATAAAGCCTTATTAAATTTAAATATCATTGCTTTTTATATTATTCAAGTCGCCATCTCTAAAATCGTTCACATTTATTAATTTTTCGATCGAATAACAATTGAACACTTAAGATTAAAATACTTTAATTTAGATTGTATCTATCTATAAAATGATTAATATTTATAAATTAATATTAA